TAAGCTTTTTCTAAATCAATAAAAATCAAATGTAGATTCTCCTTATTATCTCTGAACTTCTCCATCAAACCTCTCAATAAATGTATAGCTTCCATAGTAGACCTGCCATGTATAGCTTTCTATATAGATGTAAAATGCGATGTATGTGATTATATGCTTACTTTCCTTAATAGGTATTCTTAATTTGCAACAAAGTAAAAAACTTGATCCAAAGCAAAAGCTAAATAAGTTTTCTACTATGAAATAAATAAGAAACAATTATAATATTTAAATAACAGATACTATGCAAGTATACGTATCATTATCAAGTAATATATGACTTCTTTATTAAACCCCGAATATCAAACTGCAGGGAGACTAACAATATGCACTTTAGAAAACTAGAAAGTTTAGAAATTTTAGATGACAAAAATCTACTAAGTAAAATATTCTTACTTAAAGTAAAATATTCTTACTTAAATACTTAAACTCTATAAGTTATAATAGGAATGAAAATTTGATTCTTTTTGTTGCAGTTTAGTAGACCTGGTCATACGATTTATGAAATTAAAGTAAGCAACTAATTAACTCAATAAAATACTTGCAAGATGAAGGCATTATAAGTAAAATATATTTTTCCTTATCATGAATCAGTAATAAGTAGAGAAATTTTTTTGTGAAAGTATTATAAATGTGTTGTGTTAAATAGGAGCAATAATATTCTTTACCCTTACTAGATATGCTATAAATAACATTGGCTAATCTATAGCTTGAATAGTCTTGAAGACCAGTTAGGTAGGGAAGATACTAGCTCTCACTCTAGAGTTCCTTCTTTTTCCTCCACCTGAGAGCTGACATCTTGTATCAAAACCTAAAACTATAAATCAAATTGAGAGCTTTAGTTTGTCACTCTAAAGTCCTCGAATTCTACACATTTGAAAAATTTATTTCCCTATTTATTTGCACTTAACTCCATGAACTACATTCTCATCCTTGAAATTAATATGTGATTTTAAATCATTTGTTGACTGAGACAATACCATCTCGGATCTTACATGTTCTCACAACAAGTATTAGCATCTTAATTGGTCAAATCAAGAAGTCAAATCAAGAAGTAAAATTGGTCAAATCAAGAAGTAAATGAAGTGCAAGGTTTCAAATCATCAAATTTTCTTCCAACATTGAAACCTAACACTTCACACAACTTCATTTCAACACTTAATCACTTATCATTTTAAGAAAAAAGATAAAGAAAACTACTCAGAATCCATAGAGAAAACACAATCACACATGAGTTTAAAAGTAGAGTTTAAAAGACACATGAGTTTAAAAGTAGAAATCATGTACACAAACAAGAAATATAAATTAAAATTAAGCGTAGTCATAAAGATAAACACTTATCTCAAATCATCTTCTCCAAATGTCTTGAAGTTCCTTTGAATTCTCTTCCTTCACTCACAATACAAACTAAAAACTCAAAATAAAAAAAAATAAAGTGGCTAATGACGGCGACGTACTTGGATGAATGATGGTCGTAAATTTTATGGGTGGCTGGCCCCTTGTCTTGATGATCCAAGTCTTTTCTTATAGAAATCTAAGAGGAGCATTGGTGTCACTTCAAAAAGGTGTCTCCATTCAATGAATCTTCTAGAAGTTGCCTCCTCAAAAGCCGATTGAATGAATGTTTGTGTCCATGGGCTATTTCCCATATTTTTACCAAGGGTTGCTTCAAACACCTCTTCACAAATTCGCTCAAATTAAATAATTTATCACATAACTACTTCTAGCGTTTAGGCGCCCCAGTTCATTTATGCACATTTCTTCATTTTTGCTCAAAATTTGACCCCTTTTCACTCATTTTAACATTTTCCATCCATTTGATTGTACTTGAAAAAAAACACACAAATATCTTTCATTAAAGTGCAATATTCTTTCATTAAAGTGCATTCATTAAAGTGCAATATCTCAAAAATAGGTATAAAAATGTGTATAAAAATACTATATATTTTATGTGTACCATTGTACACAATCTCCTTCTGGAACTGGGGCTGCTCCCAAGGCTGCAATCGCTTTGAGGACCTTTGCAAATTATTCCAACATTTTATTCATGATCTGAGCTCTTAGATCTTGTAGTTCTTGTTGCACAAATCCTTCCACAAACTATTTAGTGCATCCTGCCTTCAATATGTCTCTTTGTTTGGTTTCTCTTCGCTTCCGTTGTGCTCCTCTTCTTATTGAAGACATTATTTCATGCTCACCACACCTAGAAGAATGTTGAATCCAAAAATGTTTGAGAAGAACACCCAATGAATAGAGTGTAGTACTGAGTATGGCCGAGAAAGAAGATTAGTATTAAACAATAGAAAAGCATAACCTTTTTATCGTAAAATGATCCTCATTTATAGACATGGAGGTATGAACTTTTACAATTATATATCTATCATCCAATCATTATTTTCTGAGGGATTATTTTAGTAAATTACAAAAAAATATGATAAAATAATGTGTGAAATTATATGGTTTATCGATCGATTGTCAAGATTTAAAAAATATTTTACTGTGTTTTCATTATTTTGCACTGAAATGTTGGTTTAGGAGCAATTTGCTTTGTCATGCTTCATATATTAAAAAAAATGGCTAAAAAATGTTGTTATAAGTACCGTGGAGCAAACTTTTTCCATTGTTTTGGATGTTGAGGAATGTTGGTATAGCTACTGGTGAAAATGTTAAAAAACTGTCATTGTTGCAGTCTTATTGAAAATGTGGCAGTGACAATTTTCAATCATAATGGTTTCCATGCCCTGGAAAGCATAAAAATTCCTCTTCTTTCGTTTCATCTGTTGCTTATAAATATTCCCCTCACCATGCTCTAGCAATGTCATCTTTAAGATATAAAATTATCACTAGTTGAATTTAGTATGACTAACAATGATGAACTGAATGTCTTCGAAGAACCTTAAGGAATTGTGGTTTGGCATTCATTACCTGAGGATGAGATAAACTCTAATGAATTTGAAATTGACGATTGTGAAGGTGTGGCCGAGATGACTGCTTTGAGGGAGTTTATCGCAGATGCTATATGTGACTGCTGATCAACCAATGTTTATTTATTTATTAGACTATAAGTTTATTTTCTTATGTATTTTCTTTTGGTTTTTTTTTTATTTCTGGATTTTACAATTGGTTTCTTTTTTTTTTGGGCAGGTATAACAACATGATTTCCAGAATTTCGGGAACCAATAGAGTTGTTTTGTGTTACTGCGGACTATTGGCTGCGTTACTCACGCCATGTCAACCTAACAACAATGGGATACATGTTTACTGTTTTCGCAGGGGCATTTCAGCTCGTTGTGCTTTCTTCCATTGAGCCGACAATTCAATGAATTGCACTGCCAACAGTGATTTAGGTATGATGATTTCCCATGGTGAGTTAATCCAAATATGTTTTATATGCAAGGATTTATGAAGTTGACACCACTACTTAAAGATTTTAATCTCTGGTAATGATGCCAAAAACTCGATCCTGATGTTTTTTATATGTAAGGATTTATGAAGTTGACATCACTATTTGAAGATTTTAATCCCCGGTAAAGGCACAAAAAAACTTGATCCCAAGCAAAGTAAGATTTCAATTGTATCTTTAAAGAGTAGAGATTCTACACAAGTATACGTATCGTTATCAAGTAATATATGACTTTTTGATTAAGCCCCAAATATCGATCCCATGGAGATCAATGTTAATCATGACAGCTTTTAAGAAATTTTCAGTCTATAATAACACGCCGTAGCTTGAAATGTTGATAAAGGTTTGGTTTTGATTATATCCTACAATTATCACTACAATACTACTTCTACTCCTAAACTAAAATACTTAGTGAAAATTAGAAAGTGGGGTTTAATATATTAAAAGTACCATTCCTCATGCAATGAAATTTGGGACATGTGTAAAAGTAAAACAAGTAGTGAGAGAGATTGTGACAAATAGTAGCAATTACATTCTTTACCATCGGTCAAGTAATATAAAGAATATTGGCTAATTCATAGTTTAAGAATTGTAAAGACTTGTTAGGCAGGAGAGACACTAGCTCTCACTCTTGAGTCTCCTATTCCTCTCGCCTGCAGGCTAAGATCTAGTATTAAGACTTAAAATTAAGAACCAAATTGGGGGCTTTAGCCTGTCACTCTAAAGTTTTCTAATTTTACACCCATCAAAGATTATTTTCATATTTATTTGCACTCAACCATATGGACTCCATTCTCTTATATACAATCTCATGTGATTCAACACATTTGATAGAGATAACACCGTCACAGATCTTACATGTTCTCATAACGGATTTTAACATGCAAGTTGATTAAGTTTACATGTAAATGAAGAACAAAGTAAAAACATCACAACATATTCTCACTCTACTCAATTCTATATCCTACTCATGCATACTAATTCATTATAAGAGGGAAGAGTAAAGAAAACTACGCATTACACATGGAGAAACAACAAGAACTTTTCATTGAATAATACTCTGAAACCATAAGAACAAAGTACTAGATTCAAATCAAAATAAGATGAAAATACTTATCTTTGATGGAAATCAAACACTCATTGTATAGCAAAAACAATCTACTTAGGATCCTCTCCAAGAACAAAGTGAAAAGAAAAGAAGAAATCTCTCTCACTCTCTCTCTTTCTCTCTCACCTTGTAGCCCCACTTGAGGCTCTCGCCCAAGCCTTCTTCTTCTATTCCAATTAGTTCAAGAGTCATTTTAAAAACATTTCCAAGCCTTATTTATAATTTTCCAAGAGGTGCTTAAATGTCTCTTCAAAAGTGCCCATATTCAATGAATATTCCAAATGGTGCCTCAAGTGCCTCTTCAAAAGTTTTCAAAAACCTCCTTCTAACCGCCTCAAATCCTTCTCTAAAGTCCCTTTTATCATTTCCAACGATTTCCCCAAGAGACACACGAAACAATGCTTCAAAAATTGTTTAAATCTGATGTATATTCTAGAAGATATGTTGAAAACCATCTCAAACGCTTAAGCACCGTCCTCTCTGTCTCGTGGCTCTCAAGCGCCATGTTTAGGCACTCAGGCACCGGGCACAAGCACTTAAGTGCTCGATTTCGGTCCCCATGGCTTCGGTGTGTCCCGGTTTGACCCGGTTTGCTTCGTTTTGGCCCATTTTTATTTCTTTTGCTCAAATCACTCAAAATTCTTTAATTGGATGTACCTACAACAAAAAATACAAGAAAACATACATTTAAAGTGCAATATCATTATATAATATAACATAAAAAATAATACATTTTTAGGCACATCAACAGTGCAGTTGAGGACAGACATAGTTAGAGTTTTAAATTAAATATTATAATATTTCTCATTGTAGTTGTAGTTGTATTTATCTTTATTTTATTTCTTCTGATACTCACAAGAATGTGAGCACTTTATGTTATCATTTTAAATTGATTTGTAATGATTTGCGGGTTCTGTTTTATATATTTTCGTGCGCATACAATTCTGTTGCAAACAATTTAACTAAACATGGGCATAATTATCAGAAGATTATAATCAACAGTTGCCCCAAACAAACTCTAAATCATCATTTCTTCATATAGTTTTTAAATTTTTGCTCAAGCAATTGTGAATTTTTGCAATTAACAATATCTACCCACCTTAAATACTAAAATCCTTCCATTCAACAGGCGAAGGCTCGCGAAGGTCTGGGGACGTTTTCATGTTCGGAGACGTACCGCTTTGTTCTCACAGTTCCCTCCCATTTTTTCGAAGTAGTGCCCGCTCGAAATTAGTGTGTTGGACGCTCATCCAAGTGCTATTTCCAGCAGCCCATTCGTTCTACTTCGACGTCTTGTGAGATTAGGGTTTCTTCCTCTACTCTTATATTCGCCGAAGGGACAAGAGCGATTGCTGGTCTCATTTTTTTTAGTGGAATCGGCTGACCGGTGCTCTATGGCGGTTGCTTTCATGTTTTAGAAAGTTATCACCGCGGGTTCTCCTGTTTTTCTTGATGGCCACCTTTGCAAAAACCACATGAATTGGTCCTCGTTGTTGGGCCTGCTATAGACTTTTCTTGGCAAGGCATCGCTTGGATTTCACCAACTCCTTTGTCTCTTTCCACATCGCTGTTCAAATCTTGGTTCGTCAGTTTCAGGTATTCTCTTGACGTCTGTGTGTTTGTGTGTGTGTTGGGGAGTGGGTCTGGTGTTGTCGATGGGGGTGTAAAGTGAAAGCATTTAACGGTTGTTTGATTGTAATTAGAATAAAGTAATTCCTGTGGTGTTAAATATGGTGAACTGTTCGGCAAGATGCCTTTTAAATTTTGTGAAACTTTCGTAAATTATTTGGGATTTTTGATTTAGATGAATACAATATTTTGCTAGAGACCTAACACGTTGCAGGCACATGCTTTTAAACTAGAACTTATATGAAAAATCATTAGAAAAGGACAGTATGTTCGTAAGTTGATCCTGCCAATGCATGACTTACGAAAATGCACATATTCTTCAAGTAATAAAGTGAATTGAGTTCAAGATCGCAAGGATTGATGTAAACCACGCCTTCACTGCGAAGATTTCTCTCAAATTCTTGTCTTACTCCTTTCTTGCCCTTCACTCTCACTGATACCGTTCTAGGGCTCCTAAAAAGCATTTATGAAGGAATTTAGTGGGGAAGTTGTTGATTAGTGAGTGAACGAAATATGAGAGTTTAACAGTGTTTGGACAGGGACAGACATCTTTCGATGGTTATCCCAGCTGAAATCAGGAAAAAAAAACTCTGAATAGGGATTTAGCAACAGTCGTCTTGGCTGAAATCAGAGAAGAAAACTTCGAATAGGTGATGTTCGGGCTGCAAGGAGGTTCCACCACCACCTATTTCCAAGTAATATACATATACATCACTTGCAAGAGAAAGATGATACAATATTTTGAAGAATAAAACACAGAGAAAAGTCTCTCATATTCATAAAAGCAACAAAATTGAAATTCAAAAACCCACCACAATACATACAAAAGTCCCATAAATAGAAAATACATAAATAGAAAGTTGGAAAATATGCAAGAACCAAAGAGAAAAGAAATAAAAGATAAAACTTCATAAAATAAACTAAATAACAAAAAGCTGCACTCCGGCTCAGGTTCCTGTGTTCGTAGAAACCACAATTTGCAGAGGTCATGTATCGTGAAATGAAATAATCCTGCCCATCACATCTCTAATTTCACTGGATTGCGAATCTTGCGGAATGTGCGGTGAATGGAACACTTTCGTGTCATTCTCCCTAGTTAGGAGAGGTTTCTTTCTCTTTTCTGGAAGGGCTTGAATCTCACTGTCAGATGTTCTTTCGTGCAAAACACCTACAAAGATTATCGAAGCTGGAATCCCACTGAACCTATCTTGCTATATGTTCGTGGGTGCGTTGTTATATTGACTTTAAATTTATTACCCAAATTACTCCATTTAGCCTTCCGGAAATAACTCAAAAGCTTGTTGTATCTGATACCTTGGACGTCTCTCAACAGTGTAAATTAAAAGGCAGACTGTTTGATTGAAAATTCCAAAATTCTCTTTTTTGGGATTACCTTATATATGGTATCGAGTCCTCAAACTCATGGCTCTCTCGGACAATCAACGAAAGTCTCTTTGATGCTTCTCTTAATGCCTATAGAATGGTGATTCGTGGAACTACATTCTCAAACTTCGTATGAACATCCATTACCTTGGACTCACTACCTTCTGGGACAACCAATGATATTCGTGCTGGAGTTTCTCTCTTGGGCTCAGTTTGAATCAGTAGCTTCTCTCTATCATCATTTGCACCTCTGGGTCTTCATCCTCTGCCTCTTCTTTATCTTCTTGATTGGTGAAAGATATCATTTTCCTATTTGGGCAATCTAATGCAATGTGCTCAAACATGTGGAATTTGAAGCACTTTTTGGCTGGGATGAATTTGAGAGTGCTGCCGGGCTCCATCTTTTCTCCATTTTGGATTGACTTATCCTTCGATGGTGTTGGCTTGGGTGCTCAATTATGTTTATTTTTGCTGATTGATCTTGGGGGTAAACTCTACTTATAAGGTGTGTCAGTCAGCTGATGTTGATGTTTCTCCACCTTCAAAATCATGGTCTTGACATTGTGCAGGGTTCAACCTCACCACATTATTAATAGACAACCTTAGTTCTTCAAGATACCTCTCTACTATGTGCTCATCTTGGCCCAACTCACATTTTAGCATAAATTGATCAAAATTAACTATGTAATCTTTCACTGAAATGCCTGTTTGACATAGACTGTGAAACATTATGAATATTTCTTGTCGGTAATGTTGGACAAGATATTTGAGCTGCATATACCTTATATAAGATCAAATAGTGTCTTACTCTTTTCTTCTCATTGATCAATACATTTTAGGTTCTCCAATCAAAATGAATCATTTTTTTTGAGCTTGATGGTTGTTAATTTAACTATTGTTCTGAGGAATATCATCATATTAAATAATTTTCTATCTAAAGCCATTTAATAAACTCATTTGGATCTATACGATCGTCAAAATCTGGTAAATACTTCATTACTCTAATATCCTGGCTTTATCTCTGATATTCCATATCGAATCGTCGAGGCAGCAGTTCTTCGTTATTGGAAACTGCTTGGTAGAAGGGATTCACTTTCTCCTCTCAATCTAACGAGTCATTGTTGTGGCTACTGGTGTTCTTATCAGATTGTCTCATCTTAAAAGCGACAAGTTTCTATTGCATTTGGAGGATTTTCTATTGCATATTTTCCATGGTAAGTTTCTAGACATTCTTTGCTAATTTCTCTTAGACGACATTTTGTCCTTTTCTTTCTATCAGATTTTTTATAGATGTAGGATTGCAAATCAAAGGTTGGTAAAAAAATTATGATTTTGGTAGTAAGTGTCGGTGAAATTTTTAGTAAAGCCAAGAATTTTGGATTTTGAAAATTTAGGATTACGGCTAGGAATTATAATTGGGCATTATGGGAATATTTTTAAAAATTTTAAAATTTTTTAATTTTTGTGTAGGTCCGGAGGCGGACAAGCTTAGAGAGAGTCATCTTAGATGCTTTGGTCACATTAAAGACCGATCATCTGATGATCCTATTTAGAAAGTAATATTTTAGATTCAACTTATGTTAAGAAAGACAGGCAGAACTAAAAAGTTTCAGGCATATTGTATAAAAAATGACCTTAATATATTAGAATTAAATGAAAATATGACACTCTATAGGATGCAATGGAGAAAAAAAGGATTCATTTTGGCTACCCCACTTAGTGGGATAAAGGCTTGTTGTTGTTTTTGTTTTATAGAAAAGACAAATTCCTAAAAATTTAGGGTTTGCCAAGCTCTAATACCAATTGACTTGTGTTTCTTAGATTAAATAAATCAGTATAAGTTAATATGAGACTTTATTTTATTCAAAAATGTCATTACAGGAGATCTTGAACATTTAATAACATGAATAAAATGATATCATATTACATTTTGTCTTAGTTGTTTCATTTATTATATATTACACATTATAAAAGCATCATCTAAAATGTACCATTACTATATTTTAATATCAATAAATTCTTTTAAAATTTTTTCATACGGGTAGTTTAGCATCAATACTCTCTACAACGTTATACTCAATTCCATAAATCAAGATACATGGGCAAATGCTTTTATAATTCTATCTATTTTTTCCTCTAAAGTCATTCAATATTTTATCATATTAAGTAATACATAAAAAAGACAAATATGATAAGAAATCCCTACCATTCGCTTTAATATAATAATTATATTTAGGAGTGAAGTTAATCATAAATAGTTTGTATCAAAACTTGACTGAATTAATATAAAAAATAATTATTCATTTGATTTAGAGGAAAATATTATTATCACTATAATTTATAAATAAGGGTACCCACTTCAACTATTGAAGACTTGGGACTCGTTTGAGGGAGCGTAATCGTTCATAAAAATCTTTTAAAAGCCGTGTGAGGATAAGTGCTATAAAAAGCTGTGTCTGCTGCACCGAACATTTTGTTTGAGAAAGAAAAGTTTTATCTCGCCTTATTATTAAAAAAGTCTGTAAGAACCATGTCTTTTGGCAACAATGATTCGAACCAAATGGTGAAAGAAATGATAGAGGCTTTCGCATTTTAAATTTTTTGAATGTAAACTTTGCGGTGGAAGAAACGGTCGAAGTGTTTCACATCTAGATGACATGTTCCTGTTTTCTCGCTTATGTCACACCGCGACGGGGAGAAAAATCCTCTCAAATGTAGCCTTGATTTTTCGCTTTAATCCTAGCACAACTTGCACTAATTTGATGCTTACATTTCATTTTATATATATATATATATATAATGAATTGAAGGTTAATATATTAACTAGAAAGAAAAATACAGATACAATGTGTTGAAGGGCCCAAACATGACTCCCTGCCCACACCAAAATCAGAAGGGGTTCCAAAACTAAAAAATACTGAAAAGTACATTAGAGACAAAGAAAAAGCCTAAAGATGCTGAAATACATAATATCAGGTGGCTAGAGAGCAACCCAATTTGGTTTTGCCTCTGCCTTTAGTTCTAGGAAATAAGCAAGCTAATGAGTTGGTAAGATGATTGCCATTGCCAGTAGTAACAAATGTGTCATCCAATATGTTCCCGAGCTGGAGTCAGTCTCCATTCTTGTTCTTCCTCTTGGAATAAATTTGCCATTTCTCTTTCGAAGATTGACTCATCTGATATTGGTCTGATGTGTTTTGAAGATGTGCAGATTGTTGAACATTAGAAGCAACTACATGTTGTACCGGATGCTCTGTTTTTTGATCAAAGGAGCACTCTCGTGTGTCTTGGCATGTCAGTGAGTCTTCTTCAATAACAGTGGGTAGTATGAGCACAACTGGATCTGTAGTTGTAGTATGTTGTTCGTCCTCAGGAACTGCGGTGTTGGGAAGAGGATCAGGTTGCATATTCTTAACAGGGATAATAGGTGGCTGTTCTTTAGTGATATTTGGCCTTAGTGGCCTTAGATGAGGATGCAACTTAGATGAGGATGCAAATAATAACAAATAGTAGAGCTGTGCCCAAACATACTATAATGAGAGCAATAAGGATGATGTGGTTCCATTTCAACATTTTGCCAATAC